TAAAACAGAGTAGGAGAGTCACACACTGTAAAAGTGCCTATTCCTACTGACTACACAGGTAGCTCAAATGTAAGTAGTTGGAAATAAGTGAAGTTCATCTTCTCCAAGATACCGTTTATTATGACAGGCCCAGAGTACCATACAAATAGAGTAACCAACTTTAAAAAAAAAAACAACAAACAAACAAACCACAAAACCCCACAAACCTAACACTGCTGCATAATGCTGAAAATTTAGAATTACATAAAGAACAAGAAGCACTACAAGACAATGGAGAGATGGGACTATAAGCAATACAACCAACAGAAGCCTCACATAGTAGTTTGTCTGGTTATCTGAGCTGGCAGCACATTTGATGTTCTTGATGCATTTTGTACAATGACAAGACTTCAGAAGAGGAGAAAAAGCACTGGATTTAGTGGACCGATACTTTATTACTTGGAAAAAAGCTAATGATAATTCGATTTAACTTCTCCCATCACCCATTTGAGTATTACACTCAACTTATTTGTTATGCATTTCCAAGTCATTATAAATAAAAAGCTTTCCATTTGAGAGACTATCCAAACCCATATTGCTTACTAAAGCTTTGGCAATCGTCAGCATTTTCAGAAAGAAATGAAGCTAATAAACGTATTAGCAAACAAGCTTAACTAGATTTGCGTTCACTGGATAAAACACTGCACCAAATCAACCCCCAAAAAAAAAAAAAAGCAGGGACAGCTAGCGTATAAAGTCACAACAGACGGAGTCCTAGATCTAATCTTTATCCACTAAATCATAATATCCTAAAAACTTAGGCTGGAACTCCTAAAAAGGGGAGTACACAAAAATACACGTGTATACTAACTGCTAAACACCTAAACAAAGCTGTTCAGCCCTTCTGTCAGAAAACACACTTCCAGCTACTGGAATAAATGGCAGCGCAGCAGATAGCACTTTCTGTAGCAGTTGCTAGTTTGCTATGAAAGGGACACAAGCTAGATTTTACTCTTCAGTGCACCGGTCTGACATATTCCTGGAGATTAATTGGTTGATTTTTGTTTGGTTTGTTTTTGATAACTTATCCAGATTTTGCAGAAAATCAGTAGTGAGAGTTCCCAGAAATGGGGACTATTATTGCACAGGATCTGGAATATACGTTTTCAATATGGGCAACAGAAAAATCTGACCATTAGTCTTCTACACATTTTCTAAGGATACCTTATAGTAATTTATGAGTTAAACTAAAATTAAATTACATCACAAATACTGCTTTAAGCTTATAAGCAAGCTCAGTACCCCATATTTTAAGTCATCATTACAGTCTTATTATTTATCCTTACCTACACCCAGGAGTTCAACAGCAACATTTGTTATGCCATTCTCTGCAGCCAAGACAGATCGCCACTCCAAGAAATAGGATGCTACTAGTGTTGTCTCACCAAATGTGTCTGTTTTGATCAGAACCATGTGCACTGGATCACATATAGATAACATAGTGGTTGCATCCACCATTTTACTTCCATCACCTGCCATTATTAAAACAAGATATAGCAAGCATATTATCATCCCAAGTCCTCCTCAAAATTAAAAGAAGTATGCATTTACATTCACTGCACACATTGCATTTTAAGAAAAATCTCGCATCCAGAAGTGTAAGCAATGATCCCATCTTAAAAATCAAACTCAGCTTAGGACAGAGCTACAGAAAGATTACAGTTAATTTACAGAGGAAATAAAAAGATTCCTGTTGTTGAGTACCCCAATGTAACTGGTTCAACTGCATAAAAATTAAAATGGAATTAGCATTTAAGAAAATAAAGAATATTAAAGCACCATTAATTAAAAGCAATTGAAAAAGTCTTTTAATAAGTTGGAATGGGTCAGGTCAACTTACTACACACCAGTATTTAGGAAACAACTTTCTCTGTAGTTAAGCTTGACCCTATGATATAAACTGCTCCATGAGCAGCAGAATTAACAAAGTCTGGTTTTCTTTGAATTTGTGGTATATTCACTCCCTTCCCCAAGTCCAACTGCAATAACTCTGGCTTTTCCTCTGTTCCCTGATACTCCATAAGCTACCCTGGATTTCTACAGGACTCAGCCAATATCCAGAAGTCTTTTCATAACATACTCAGCTCCTACCATGTTCCCTGGCTACCAACAGAAGAACAGGCTGCGGATGACTGACTCTTCTGCAGGTGTTTGCCAACTGGTAGGCAAACTGAACTCACGCTGAAGTTTTTCCTTCCATATGACAACAAATTTGTGTTTCCCTTCTTGTCAGCACAGAGTTCATGAAAATCACAGCCACCTTAGTGTCTCTTACCATCTCTGAGACTATCATCTCACTGTCAGTTATGGATAAAGTTGGTCAAATTCAAAAGTTATTTTAGAGCGGAAAAGAAGGAAAAGAAGAGGCAAGAGTAGAGAAAAATCTACAAGTGGCATAACCTAACACAGTCATCAATTTCCTTAGGAAAACATGATAAAAAATAGGAAAGAAAGGCACTGAATAATATCAAACACATTTCACAATAACTATGAAGTCAGAAAAAAACCCAACAGCATCAGCTTTAAACCCACAATATTCCTTACCTAGGCTATCCTTGTGTACTTCAAGTAAAAAACCATCATGAAAATCTGGCTCACAGGCACAGGGGACAGGTTTAGAACGGAAGCGCTGATTTCGAAAATGTAGACACAGAGTGAAGGTAGAACAGATTTGGCCAGGCAGAGGCTCCGGTTCCTGAAGATGTTCCAGAAAAGCTCTTCCACCCAAAACCTGAAGGTAAAGATACCTCCGTGTTGGGTCAATGTTAGCTGTAAAGCGTAGCAATAAAAATGAAGAGACTACAAACAGATCTTAGGAAGCATGTTAAATATCAGTTAAGTAACAGGAGACTAGAAAAAAAAAAGACACTTTTTTGAAACACATGCTTACGAGAAAGTGATTTTAAAATGTATGGAAGTTATCTTAATATAAAATAAATTAAGGGTTTTTTTAAAGTTTACATGAATTTACTTCCTGTAGACAAGCAGGAAAAACATCCACCTTTATGCCAGCTCATACTGGATTACTAATTCAGAATTCAAAAATCATAGACTTTAAATTCCTCTCAAAACTATGATCCAAATATTAAAATAAACAAGCAACATACTTTTTTTCAAAGCTGGTGGTTCTCTGTCAACAAAATGTGTTGATGGTTTTGGAGCTGAAGTCCTCTCCTTTTCATTCACATCCTGGAATTACAATTAAGACTTTTTAAGTCATCAAGGGATGCAACAGTGCTCTTACCACCGTCTTCTAAAAATTAAAGAATCCTCCATTTCAGCTGAATGCCATTCCTCAGGTATGCTCCCTTCTAGTACTTGAGATGTAACAAAACTGAAGAAATACTTTCAATATAGTGTTATCATTAAACCAATTTTAGCGTATACATTAAGCTGTTCTGCTCCTAAGATGTCACAAATCAGTAAAGCCATTACAAACCTTTAGAAGCAGTGAGTTTTCGCTCTGTCAAAACACCAAGTCAGTAACAGGAATAAGCAAAAATATTTTCACTCTTCAAAAGCTACTTACAGTTACAAATTTAAGTTCCTTCATAACATCATCAATGATTCCTCGTTGTCTTAAGGCTTTTATCAGATCTTCGGTGGATAACTGCTGATGCTCAGGTGCTAACTCTTCACGTATAGTCTCAGCAAGGACTTCTCTTATCCTGCCATGGACATCCATCTGAAAGAAAATTCACGATATGCTACAAATACAAGCTCTTTAAATGGTAGCAGCTATGACTAAACAGTCACTCTATAAGACTAAAGGTATTCTCCTAGGAACACAGAAGTAACCACACCGAAATAATGATCCTTTCAGAACTAATCAAACGAGTCACTATCTTACCAAAGCAGCTCTACCAGTTAAAAAATCATGAGCACACCAAACCTGAGCATTTTCACTGCTCTTGACAGCATCCACTGCCTTGAACTTCCCTCCTTACAAAAAGGTCTGCAAATCCATCAATTATAAAATGGTCACTGTTTTAATTTCTTGTCTCTCTCAAAATTCTTTTAGGATAAGAGTTTCTCATTTTTAAGGGAAAAAGTACACCTTTATACACTTGTAGGTAAGGCACAAAAGTAGGAAATCTCCATTGCAAGCTTCCCCTATGCTCAAAGGGAAGTCAGAGAATTTGTGTCCTTCATCTCAGCTGCGAAACTGCATGGATTTGTAAAGCTGTTTGTCACACAGGAAGGACGTTAAGGCCACAGCCACTGGGACCTGAAATACTTCGCGATACATGAGTTAAAGCACTCGTATTTATTTCCTCGTCAGTCCAAGACCCAGCCCAAGAACCTCGCTGAAAAAAGCGGCAAACAAAAAAAAAAAAAAAAAAAAAAAAAAAAAAAAAAAACCCCCG